TTTTAAAATTATTTGCAATATAATTTAAATTCTTAGTGATTTTTTGAAATAATTGATTTCTTTTTTCTTTAAAAAAAACATTCTTATTAAAAAATCTTTTATAATTATACTTAATACATATAATTCATTATTTATCTATTTTTGATGGATTCTCATAGTGAGTTTGCCAAAATAATAATTTCTTTTAAAGAATCGTCAAATTTAGTAGATTCCCATAGAGAATTCGCCAAAATAATAATTTTCTTTTAGAGAATCATCATATTTAGCGGGTTCCAATAGAGAGTTCGCTAAAATAATGATTTTTCTTAGAAAATCATTATTTTTAACGGGTTTCCATAGTGAATCTGCCAAAATAATGAATTCTTTTAGAGAATCATTATTTTTAATCGGTTCCTATAGCGGGTCTACCAAAATAATGATTTCTCTTAGAGAATCATCAAATTTGGCGAGTTCCCATAGAGAATTTGCCAAAATAATGATTTTCTCTTAGAGAATCGTCATATTTGGTGGGTTTCTATAGAGAGTTCACCAAAATAACGAATTCTCTTAGAGAATCGTTATTTTTGACAGGTTTCTATAATGGGTTTGCTAAAATAATGAATTCTCTTAGAGAATCGTTATTTTTAACCGGTTCCCATAGTGGGTTCGCCAAAATAACGATTTCTCTTAGAAAATCATTAAATTTGGCAAGTTTCTATAGAGAATTCGCCAAAATAATGATTTTCTCTTAGAGAATCGTTATTTTTGACAGGTTCCCATAGTGGGTCTGCCAAAATAACGAATTCTCTTAGAGAATTGTTATCTTTAACGGTCTCCCATAGTGGGTCTGCCAAATAACGAATTCTCTTAGAAAATCGTTATTTTTTAACAGTTTTCTGTAGTGGGCTTGCTAAAATAACGAATTCTTTTAGAGAATCGTTATCTTTAGCGGTCTCCCATAGTGGGTCCACCAAAATAATGAATTCTCTTAAAGAATCGTTATTTTTCAACAAATTCTCATAGTGGGTCCGCTAAAATAATGAATTCTCTTAGAGAATCATTATCTTTAGCAGTCTCCCATAGTGGTTCTGCCAAAATAATGAATTCTCTTAGAGAATCGTTATCTTTAGCAGTGAAACATGTTGATCACTTGCTTTATCACATTTTCTTACTAAAATTATCCTGCAATATTACAAAGTGAGATAAAACTTTGTTATTCAAATTTTTTTCTTTATTACAAAGTGAAATAAAACTTTGTTATTCAAATTTTTTTCTTTATTATAAAGTGAGATAAAACTTTGTTATTTATTTTTATTTATTTTAATACAAAGTGAGATAAAACTTTGTTTTTTATATTTTTATTTCTTATAATACAAAGTAAAATAAAACTATGTTATTTAAATTTTTTCTTTATTACTGATATAAAATTTTATTAATTATTTTATTTTCTTTAATATAAAGTAAAATAATTTTTTTTTATATATAAATCGGATATCATATTAACATTTGATCAGAGTTAAATTAATTTTTCTTTTTTAAGTAATCATAGATAATCAATAGTAATGTTCATTTAATACCTATTGTTGATCGTAATTATCAATTATACTTAATATGGTTATTAGTTAAATTAACTGATTACAAAATATCACATGCTAAATTACAATTATAAAAAAGGTTTTGAAACTATTTCTTTTTTCTTTCCTCGCTTTAAATATGACAATAAAATACTCTTTTAACAAATATAATAACTTATTTTTTTTAATTACTTATTTAAATATTTTTAAATATTCAAATTTTATTTCTTATATATTTAACGTTAAATAATATTTAATAATATTATATGATTTAAAATACCAACATTAGTTAATTTAAAAAGAATTAATTATTTAAAATTTAGAAATCACATTTCATTTTATGCTTTAAGGATTAATGTTATATATAATTGAAAAAATATTCAGGAGTATTTTTTTAAAAAAGGTATATTACTTTTTTTTTTTTTCTTAATTTTCTCTTTCTTTTACTCATTTTTTTATTACTTTTTACACTTATTTTAAATATTAAAATTTTATAAATATGAATATACAAAAAAAAGAAAAGCTAGGTATCATTCTCAAAAAGAAGTATGGAAACATTTTGAATAAAAACCTCTTAAGTCTCCTGGACATTTTTCAGCTAAATGTAAATATTGTCAGTTTAATTAGATCCATAGCAATCCAAATGAATTAAAAGAACATTTAGCAAATAATTGCAAAAAAGTTCCATAATATGTTAGTTCATTTTATATAGATTTAGTTTCTTCACATGATTTTGGAATTGAAGATAATTTTATACCTTTATCAAAAAATAATAAAAAAAGAAAATATCAAAATCAGCAAGATATAATGGACTGGTTTAAACCAGAAACTATACTTCCTTCAAAAACGGCTTCTATTACTCATGCTCTTATTCGAGCATTTGTATGTTATGATATTTCATTCTCAATTATAGAAAATCCTTTTTTTCTTGAATTTTTACGAGAAATGAAACCAGGATATGTACCTCCTACAAGTGAATTACTTAGTGGTAGATATTTGAATCAAGAAACAGCAAGAATTATAAAAATATTGATGAAATTATCAAAAAATCAGATAATTTAACACTTGGTAAATTTCTTTTATTAAATTTAAATTAT